GTTAATCTTTAAATAATTTATTTTTATACTTAACATTTAATTTAATAGTTGATTTTGTTTAATTTATTAAATTTTATTTAATACTTAACATATTAATTAATATAATTATATTATTTATTAATATATTTAATTAATTTAAAACTTGATTTTATCTAAAAAATATATGTGAATATGCATATGAGACTACATAGATATTTTATATAAAGTTATCACAAGTTTTTGTCAATAATTTTTAAATTAAGAGTTAACTTTTTTTCAAATAAGAGTAGACTCTTTTCCAAAAAGAGTCGACTCTCATTAAAGGGAGTCGACTATACACAGCACTCAAAATCTTCTCAACTTTCTGAAATTTGGGAGTCAAATATTCATTATGTATAGTCGACTCTTGAATACTGGAGAGTCGAATCTTTGTAGTTAGATTCGACTCTTTATTTAAAGGTATATATCTATAATGGCCTTGACCAATTATTAGTCAAAGTGGTAACATCAGCAACAAGGGATATGTTGCTGATGTTTGGTTGGTAAAAAGATAAAAATAACAACAACATGGTATATGTTGCTAATACTTTAGGTGTGGTTGGAAAAGTTTCAGCAAGATAACTCTTGTTGCTAAAAGTCACTTTCAGCAACAAGCCAACAAGGAATATCTTGCTGAAAGTGGAGCTTAATTAGATGGAGAAATGGTTGCCGGAAAATATCAACAATATGGGGTATATTGCTGAAATTCACTTTCAGCAACATACTCCTTGTTGCTGAAAGTAAAACAACTTTTTAGGGGAAGAATGTACAATGCAACTTTCAGCAACATGAGTCTTGTTGCTGATACAAATTTTCAGCAACAAAGGATTCCATGTTGCTGATATATTGTTGCTGATATATTGTTGCTGATATATTGTTGCTGATATATTGTTGCTGAAGGCTTGAATTTTAGTAGTGTCCCCGTGCGGAAGGGGAGGTGAAGAATTGTGGAGAAGAGGTTCTCGACGTTCATCTCTGACCTCGAGTACCGTCGACATTTCTCCTCCGTTTTCCTTTCCCCACCGTTTCTTCTCCCCTGGACTGAACGTAGCCAAGGGAGAGAGGAGACTCAGGAGTCGTTTTCTATTCATCAAGCGAGCTGTTGGGTGGTAAAAAGGCGGTTTGACGTGGCGGCCTAACAAAGTAACAAGCAAAGCAGCAATTTGTTTCCTTCATTATATCTCTGAGAATATTACTATTTTTTTTTTAAATTGCTGTTTTATAATTGGTACCGCC